AGCCTCAGAGAGGCCTCCCTCTCTGCTGCTCACAACTCCGCCATCTTCCCAAGCCCAGAACGATGGTCATTCTGTTCTCCGCCTTTGTCTGGATGTCACTGCAGTTCCTGCAGGCAGGGCACTGCTCTGACGGTGCACAAGTCTTTTGTTTTTCCCCTGTGGTACTGAGAATTGAACTCAGAACCTCTGCCCTGAGCTACATGCCAGCCCCATTCTTTATTTTACATAGGGTGTTAAGTCACTAAACTGCTCGGGCTGGGCTCAAATTTGCTATCTGCCTGCCTCAGCTTCCCAAGTGCTAAGATTACAGGTGTGCACCACTGTGCCCAGCTCGTATTTATTCAGTATAATCTGTTTCGTGTGTGTGGTGCTGGGATCAAACCCAGGGCCTTGTGCATGCTAGTAAGTGCCCTACTATGAGCTGTACTTCTGGCCCCCAAAAGAATCCTGACATTTGTTATTTAACCTTCTTATTACTCCTTCGAGGTGTGCATTCCTCCTCTCCCCTCCCCTCCCTCTGTTTTCCTCCCCTCTGCCCTCCTGCTGTGGTTGGCTCCAGAGCTTTCACACTGAGATATGGTACATCACTGGCCCTTTTTAAGAACTGTTTTACTTTGAAACAAAGTTGTCTGCACTGGGCTTGAACTTGTTTCCTGCCTCAGCCTCCTGGAGCACTGGAATTATAGGCATGTACCACTACATCCGGCTTGGGGATTTCATTCTTTTTGGGGTTTTGGGGGTTGTTTTGTTTTGAGACAGAGTCTCACTATGCAGTTCTTGAAGAGATCCTCCCCCCTCAGCCTCCCAAGTCCTGTGATTACAGGTGTGCACCACCATAGTTAGCATGGATTTCATTATTCCTCTTGTACTGGAGAATTAAACTGTGACTTGGAGTTGAGGAACTGGTCTGTGCTGACCCTGGTTTGAGCCCAGAACTTCTGCCTCCGAGGCTCCTGTTATTTGTACATTAAGCACCTGCCAATAAGATTCTAACAATAGAAGGGACATGGCTGGTGTTTTAAAAATAGCCAGGAGGATTCTAGTACAAGACTCTTGTTTTGCTGGTGAGTAAACTAGACCCTTGGGCAGTGATGGTGAACCTTTTAAGCTTTCAATACTACAAACCACCAGGGCCAGGGATTTAGCTGAGTGGCTCTACCGCCTGCCTGGCAAGCACAGGGTCCTGAGTTCAATGCCTGGTACCAAAAAAAAAAAAAACATTACAAACCACCTGCAGTGGGATGTAGGTTTGCCATCACTGCTATAGGGAATATATGTATTGCTTTATACAAATAAACGCATCAACACAAAGCATACCTTGAGAAAAATACTCTTCCTATGTTTGATATACATCTGAGTTTGAAGTCCCGAAACACACTGGCTGTAAAATATACCCAAGTTCCAGTTCCAGGTGGTTCTTGGATTTTGCAAGCCTAAAAAGGATGGGGATGGTCTCAGCCTCCCTCCCAAAGCCTGTTGCCAGGGTTTTGGGTTTAGGGGCTATTTTGAGACAGGGTTTCGCTGTGTAGTTCAGGCTGGCCTAGAACTTGTGGTGTTCCTCAGGCTTCAGCCTCCCAAGTGCTAGTGTCACCATGCCTGGCATTTTTCTTTTCTTTTTGTGGTATTCATACATTGAACCCAAGGCCTCAGGGCCTTTGCACTGAGCTACACCCCCAGCCCTTTTTTTTTTTGTTTTTTGGTACCGGGGATCAAACTCAGGTCCTTGTGCTTGTGAGGGCAAGTGGTGGCACCACTGAGCTAAATCCCTGGCCCCTTGATTCTTATTTCATCTTCTTCCCCTCCCCTCTCCCCCATGTTGTCTGCTCTGTAACTGGTTCTCTTGTGGATGGGCCCAGCAGGGTGTAATATTGTCACCGAGCCCACGGAGATGGCTGGCTTGTTGCAGCCGCTGTGCTGATCCACACTAACCCGGCATGAAGGCACATCCTGCCTTCACAGCCTCAGCTAACAATTTTTTACAAATAGGCTCCGTTAGGGCCTGGGACTTAGCTCAGTGGTTCCAGTGCCTGCTTTGCAAGCACACAGGTCCAAGTTTGATCCCTGGTACCGGAGGAAAAAAAAAAAATGTAAAATCGGCTCAGCTCTTCACAGGTAGTTCAGGACTAAAACCCAGATCCAAGGGGGCTGAGGCCCAGCGGCACAGGTGGTCTGGGGCTTGGGGTGAGTATCACAACCCCATCTCTGGGTCCCCTACAATGTTATACATCCTCCGCACACCCTTTGGGCCAGGCAGGATTGGGGTGAGTGGCTGTTTTTCTGTGTCTGGGGTGCTAGAAGCAGGAAGTGGGGAGCCGGGAGTCTCTGTCCCATACCCGCAGACCTGCTGGACCCACACGTGCCTCTGCTTTCCAACTTCACACACTGCCTAATCACTTGTATCTATATACAAGCCTTTTTTCTTCTCTTTTTGAAAGAAGGTTTTGCTTTATAGTTTTGGCTGGCTTTGAATTAGTTATGTAGCCCAGGCTGGCCTCAAACTCACAGCAATCCTCCTGCCTCAGCTGCCTGAGAGCTAGGATTACCTGCATATACCACCACACCCATCTTATCTACATAATTATTATTATTATTATTTTTTTCAATTTTCTGAGACATGGGCCAGGGATTTAGCTCAGTGGTTCTGTGGCCTGCCTTGCAAGCGCAAGGACCCGAGTTCAATCCCCAGTACCAAAAAAAAAAAAAATTCTGAGACAGGGTCTCACTAGTTCAGGCTGGTTTTGAACTCACTGTGTAGCCCAACCATGGTCTCAAACTTGTGGCGATCACCCTGTTCAGCCTCCCAAGTGCTGAGATTACAGTCATGTGCCACCATGCCCAGCTGATATTTTGGGTTTTGTTTTGTGGTGCTGGAGATCAAACCAAGGGCCTCATGCCTACTAGACAAGTGCTGTATCACTGAGCTACGCATCCAGCCCTTTATCATGCTTTGAATTCTCCTTATGGGTAGTTTTAACACCCCTCCCCCACTTTCCAGTACTGGGGATTGACTTAGTGCCTTCTCAGTGAACTACATGCCCAGCCCTCTTATTTTTATTTTACATTTTAACTTTTTAAAAATGTAAAATAGGTTAAGTTGCCTGGGTGGGCCTAGACCCTCCTTCCTCAGCCTCCTGAGTAGCTGAGATTATAGACATGCACCACTATTTCTAGCCTAGTATTTCTATCATCTTCACTCTTTATGTTTTATTATATTAGCATAACTTACATAAATATTATAACATTAAATCGAATATTACTTTGATGTTTTTGTCTCTCTCTCTCTGTCTCTCTCTCTCTCTCACACACACACACACACACACACACACACACACACACGCACAAAGTGAGCCCAGAACTCTTGCACTGAACTATACCCTTGGCCTCTTTTTCTTTTTTTTTTAAGACAAGGTCTCACTAGGTCACTAAATTGCCAGGGTAGGCTCACTTGGAATCATCCTTCCTCAGCCTCCCAAGTGCTGGGATTACAGGCATGCACTATCACACCTGTCTTAAATTGGGAATTATTATACATTAAAAGAAAACTCACTTGCCATGTTAGCAGGCAACTGTAAAATGGAATTCAAGGACATTTTCACTCAGAGCAGGATGGGCTGCCTGCCGCAGCCCTGCACGTGAGGCCCACCATCCACTGCTGTGCGTGCTGCACCCAGCACAAGCAACCTCTGCCCTGCAGACGAGAGCAGGGCCTCCTGAGCTTCCTCTGCTGTCCTCAGGTGGCTGTCCCAGGAGGCCTGCGTGTGGTTGGAGGACAGTGAGGAATTCTGAGGCCAGTCCTCACCCCGGCACTACCGTGTGTGGGAGAAGAGAGCAGGAAAAGAGCGTGGACTGCCCAGGCTCTGGCTCTGAACTGCTGCAACATGGCAGGAACACGAGTCTCCATGGGGGAAAGGGCTTTGGCTCTTTCTTTTCTGTACTGGAGATCGAACCCAGACCTTTTAACTGAGCTACCATTGTCAGCTTAAGGTTTCATTTTTTACTAGTTTGAATGAGTCACTTGATTTTTCATTCACTCATTTTGTTACTTTTTTTGAGACAGGGCCTCACTATATAGACCATCTTGCCCTGGACTCACTGTGTAGCCTGGGCTGGTCTTGAGCTCACGGCCACCTTCCTGCCTCAACCTCCCCGGTGCTGGCTACTATGCTTGAGCTGTTCACTAATTTGTAAAATGGGGTTAAAGATGCCTGTTCTGACCAGGTGTGGTGGCACACACCTGTAGTCAAAGACTCTGGAGGCTAACAGAGATATCAAATGTTCATTTAAAAAATAACTGAAAAAATAAAATATATTTGGAATCATTAAAAAAAAAAACTTCAAGACTAGCCTAGACAACTTAGCCACTTGGTGAGGCCCTGCCTCAGAATAAAAAATAAGAGGTTGGGGGTCTGGGGGTATACCTCAGTGCAAAGGCCCTGGGTTCAATCTTCAGTACCCCCCAGCCACCCCCAAAGAGGAATACCTGTTTTGGACAGGTGTGGCAGTGTATATCTGTAATCCCAGCTGTTCAGGAGGCCGGAGCAAGAAGAATGAGATTAGTCTGGGTAACTTAGCAAGATATTGTCTCAGAATAGAGAGGGCTGGGGATGTAGTAGCTCAGTGTTTCCTGGGTTTGGCCCTCCACGAAAAGTTGTTCTGGGCATCCCGTGAAGTACTGTTAGGATAGCACTGAATTGAAGGGAAATCAGCCATGTTCCCCCACGGGATACAGTTGCCTTGGGTCCTGAACAATGAGCCAGAGAGCGAGGCAAGGGGCTGTTGCGGGTGCAGAGCTCTGAGCGGACAACAGCACAGCTGGCCCTGGGGAGCCCCTTCTTTGGGGCACCACAAGCTCGGGGTGTAAGCAGAGTCCTGCACTGTCACAGACCCCTGGGTGACTTTATAAAAGTACCATGACCTCTGCTGTAGCAACCCCTCCAAGAGGGGAAACCCAGCAGCAGGGACTTTGCGGCAGCTTCACCAACCTCCCTGTGCCCTTCCAGGGACGAGGATCATCTATGACCGGAAATTCCTGATGGAGTGTCGGAACTCCCCCGTGGCCAAAACGCCCCCGAGGGACCTGCCCACCATCCCCGGGGTCACCAGCCCGAGCAGCAACGAGTCCTCCACAGAAGCCAGCCAGAGCCACCTGCGCGGCAGTCCAGAAGACAAGCCGGCGGGCAGTGAGTAGTGGGAAGAGGACTGCCCTGTGCCCGGGGAGGTCCAGGCAGGGGGACCCTAGTGACTCCCAGCCTGAGAGTCCAGAGAGTAGGAGGAGGGTGGGGGTGGAACCCTGCGGGGTGACAGCGTGCTGTCAGATAACGTGTTAGTGAGGAGATGATCTGAAATGGCAGGGGGCAAATGGGTGTAATCCCAGCATTTGGGAGGCAGAGGCAGGAAGATGGACTGTTTGAGCCAGCTGAGCTACATAGGGAATTCAAGGTCAGCCTGGGCTTCACAGTGAGACTGTGTAGATAGACTGATGGAGACAGGAAGAGGGAGAGAGAGAGAAAGACATGAAGCGCCAGAGGCTCTGGCGAATTGCCCTTAAATTTTTCTCGAGCTGTGCTGGGAACACACCCGTGATGTTCGTGGTGCAGGAGACAACTTGTCAAAGACTCCGTGTGCTTGCCCTCTCAGGAGTTACAGGTCCACAAGATAGCAAGTACGTCCGGGAGCCTCCTGGCAGGCGTGTGTGGGCTCTTTGGTGGACCCTGTGTGAAGCAGGCAGAAACAGTGCAGCCGGTTGTCTGTGCTGCTCTGACATTTGGTAATGAGGCCCTTCTGTTGTCCCCGCATTCTGAGCCAGCAGCAGCCACACTGGCCACAGCGTGTGTGAATGCGCTGTGTGCCCCCGAGCTCCCCACTGCAGGCAGAGGCAGCACAGGAGCTTCCAGGGAGCCTCTGGTAGCACCTGGGAGGCAGTGGCCCACAACCGGACGGCGAGCAGCTGCGGCTGGGCTGGGCCTGCTCTGCTGACAGCTGCAACAGCAGAAGCCACCTCCCGGACTTGCAGGGCAGGACTGAGCTGCACCTTGAGAGCCCATCACCCAAGAAAGGCGGTGGAGGACGTATCCCAGCCTAAAGGAAGCGGCAGGACCAGGGTGGGTTCGGGCCCATGCACAGAGCAGCCTGACAGATGCTGGAAAGCAGCACGGTTACAGGCCATTGGTTCAAGAATGGAGGTTCATCGGGCAGTGCTACCACCTCCACCTTTTTGTGCTGTTGGAGTTGAGCCCAAGGCCTTTGCACTGAGCTACATCTGCATCCCTCTTTATTTTTTGAGACAATGTCTAAGTCAGTAAGATGCCTAGTCTGGGCAAAATCCTCCTACCTCAGCCTTCCAGGTAACTGGGATTACAGGTGTGAACCACCATGCCCAGCTCCCACGCCACTTCTTGCCTCAAAGAAAGATCCAGTCAACCCTGCAGCCGCTGAGTCACTGTTACCGAAGGTTGTCACTCAGTCCTGTGTACACACAGCGTGCAGCAGCTCTGGCCCATACAAGTACAGGCCTGGCGGTACCTGAGATGCACAGCCGTGGACCTAGAATCAGGCCTGGCAGGTCTGTGTGGTGGTTAGGATACAACAGGGTGGGGATAAGACATGATTTGTGTTTACTTCTCTGAATACCAGAAGTCATGTGCCTTGGGATCACATATTTGTATAAATACAACAACCAGGGGAAAGGGCCACTTGCTGCTGGGCCTATTTTCGGTATCTGGGGGCCATGTAGAAGACTGGAGCAGTTCCACTTAGACCATGAGTGAGATGATTTGATTGAAAATTTAAAAAATTTTTTAAAAACCTGCTGCACGAATGACTTGGAAATGCTCGTGGAGTGAGGGCAGTAAGTGGCTGGCTTATCCAGATAACTGCTTTACATCGGGCCAGGTGATCCATCCATTGGACTTATGCCTCGTAGGTTACCATTTTCTAGACCAAACACTGGGACAGATGCTGAGCAGTTTTATTTATCACGGTGCTGGGGATTGAGCCCAGGACCTTTGAGCAGGTCACATCCACAGGCTTTTTCCCCCTTATTTGAGATAAAAGTTGCCTGGGCTGGGCTTCAACTTCGTGATCTCCTGCCTCAACCTCCCAGAGTGCTGGTATTATAGATGTATGCCACCATGCCTGGCTAGAAGTTCTATATTTATGGGATATTTTTTAATGTAGTCACTTTTATATATAAGGCCATAAGTAGCTAGCTGATCACCTGTTTTGTTTTGTTTTGTTTTGAAGCAGGGTCTCCCTTTGTAGTTCAAGCTGGCCCAGAACTGGAGCCTCCTGATTGCTGGGATTACAGGTGTGGGCACCACATCTGGCTTTTTTGTTTTGTTTTTGGTACCAGGTATAGAACTCGAGATGACCTTGCGCTTTCAGACAGTCAGACAGGCCACGGAACCACTGAGCTAAATCCCCAGCCCTGTTTTGTTTTGAGGCAGTCTCTCACTATATGTAGTTCAGACTGGCATGGTGATCCTCCTGCCTCAGCCTCTCAAGTACTGCGATTACAGGAGAGTGCCACTACACCTGGCTATCAGCCTTATTAAAAATAAAAATTATAAAAAATTCCTAGGAGGAAACCTAGTCTCTGCTGTGTGACTTAGGATTGAGAAAATGCACAGCCGGACACAGAAGGTTAGGCTGGTGTCCGGGAACTCCTAGCCTGTCCTGTCTTTCTGCTTCTCCCCTAGCACATAAGCCCAGCCTGTGCTCTTGGAGGAATGAGTATGGAGGAGCGGGGCCTCGTCTGCCCATTGCTTAATCTGTCCCTTCTCTCCTAGGTGAAGAGGCACAGTTTGAGATGGACATTTAAAGGACCAGCCATCGGACAGAGCGGACTTTCTGGGCTCTCGGGCCTTCTCAGGAGAAGGACCACACCAGCCAGCCTCAGGAACACTCACGTCCATGGCAGGAGTCGGGTGCGGGGCTGGCCACCCGCCCCTGCCCCACTCAGGGCTCCTGCCCCTCCTCTGAACACCAGCACAGACCTCCTCATGCCTCTGATGTGGGAGCTGCTGCCCAAGAGGTCTCTCTCGTCCGTGCCCTGCGATCAAGTGCCAGCAAGTGGACACAGTTGCCCTCTGAGTGATCGTCAGGCTCACTCATCCCTTAGGTTGGGGAGCCTGGGAAAGCTCCCCTCCTCTTCCTTCCCCAAGAGAGGAAATAAAAGCCACACTCACCCCAGGGCCGTGACATGGGCCCTGTCTGAGCTCTTTTTAACCTTCTTCTGTTTGCTTGGGTTGTATTGTGCTTCCCTTTACGTAATCTCACTCGGTCTCACACTGGTCCTGTAAGTATAGAAAGTGAGCCTAAGCTGAGAAGACTGTAAATGCCCCACAAAACCGGGTTTCAGCCCTGGTCTCGTTTTTCACCTTCTTCTGGGCTGTCTCTCTTGCTCCCCAAGCCTGTCAAGTGACCTAGTCCCCTTCCCCCTCAGGCTCACTCCATGCAAGTGTGAAAGGGAAAAGTCCACACCTTGGCTGGTAGAGTCTTCTTGATCCACATGCACCTGATCTTTGTCAAGGGACCCCATCCTGTGAGTTGTCCTGGGGCACACAAAGAGACGAGCTCCCTGCCTGGAGTGTGTTATTGAAATGTAGAAATGTCCCATAAGAAAAGGTAACATAAACCGGGCATGGTGATGCATGCCTGTAATCCCAGCCCTTTGGGAGGCTGAGGCAGGATAAGCATAAATTCAAGCCCAGCCTGGGCCTGTCACAAAAATTGCAAAGTGGGCTGGAGGTATAGCCCAATGTGTAGGTCTTGGGTTCAATCCCCAGTACTGCCCCCAAAAAGGAGCATAAAAGAAATCATACAGGGGAGTAAAAAAAAATCATACAGGGATAGGGATGTAGCTCAGTGGCACAGCAGGCGCCTAGCAACGAACAAGGCCCTGGGTTTGATCTCCAGCCAAAAAAAAATGTATAGGACCAGGCACCTGTGAGTGGTCTGTGTAAGAGCAGTTCACTGAGGGGAGGCGTCTTGGAGGTGGTGCTGGGATAAGCAGGAGGCGGGTGCCCAGTGTCTCCGGGAACCAAGGTGTAGAAGGGAGGTGCATCAAGGAGCACACTTCAAGCTGGGCGTGGTGGTGCACACCTGTACTCCCAGCCCTCTGGAGGCTGAGGCAGAGGATTGTGAGTTTGGGGCCAGCCTGGACTGCACAGTGAGACCCTGCCTCAAACTGCAGCCCACTCTGGATAGAGCAGGCAATTTTATGAGTAGGGGGTGATTTTTATAAATGCCAAGCAGAAATCTTGACTGAGAAAGTTTCTCAGGGAATGTCTGGGGGGTCTGTTCCCCTTCAATGGCTGAGTCCTGTGCCTGGCCTTTGTAGCTTGGAGCCCCCTCCACTCAAGGGTGGCAGCTGGAATCCACATCTGGTAAAAGAGTCCAGCCTTTTCCTGTGCATGGAAAGGTGGGGGTGGAGTTGTCACAAAACAAAGGAAACAACTTCCAACTAGGAAAGAAGACCTCTGAGCTTTCTAGTTCCTTAGCTTTCCAGCACAAGTGTTTTATTCCTGACATCCCACCAGAGGTAGAGGTCTCTCTCACCAGTTTACATGACCAGATCTACTTACCTTCTAGATCCTCTATCTCCAGATCAGTTTAAGAGGAATTTTTTAAAATGGGCTTCTCAAAAAAAAAAAAAAAAAAAAAAGAGGGCCAGGGATTTAGCTCAGTGGTTCCGCCACCTCCCTTGCAAGCACAAGGATCCGAGTTCGATTCCCAGTACCAAAAAAAAAAAAAAAAGGTGCATCTCTGGTAGTTTGAGGGCCACAATAAAATTGTCCAGAAGTGGGCACCTTTTGTATCAAGCAAAAGTATGCCCTGGAAGATCAAGGTTTTTCCTTGCACATCAGCTCTGGGTGATGCAGAGTGGCAAAGATGTACAGTCCGTCCGGCCCGTCCTGGAGCAGATGAAATTGGATGGGACTGCTGTCTGTGGTCCAGCCTAACATCCTGTGTACCATGCTGTGGTGCTTTGTAGAGGTGCTCATCTCAGGAGGTCATAGCTTAGCCTCCGCTTTCTAGTGTTACCAAAGCACTGCATCAGAACAACCCATTGACAACTGTTGGACGGGTGCCTTAGGCCACAAACCGGGAGAGGCCATGTTCTCCCGAGTTTACAACCTAGTTAACGGCACTGAACAGTAGAGGGCCACCCGGCAGAGTCAAGCAAGACCCATGTGACCATCCAGTGCATGGAGGCAGTCTCACTAGTGCTGTAAGGTAAAGGAACTTGAGGAGCCTTCCCAGAGATGGCGCTTGATAGGACTGGAAGAATTCTAACTCAGAGGGCCTTCCAGGGCCCTGCCTGGTGCACAGTACTAGCTCAGAGCAGGTAAGCAGAGGGGACGTTGGTTTTCCGTACAGGAATGAAGAGGCCTAGCCAGATGAGAACGTGGGAATGGGCTGTGTGAGGAACTGAGGCCCGGAAGCTCTGGTCTGAGTGGCCCAGCGGTGATAGCTGGAAGGAAGTGCTGATCTAAGAACCACACCGACTGGCAAGGTTACAAACCTTGCAGAATGATCCTGGTGAATGGTGGAATGTGGGGAGAGCTTTGTGACTTCCCGACCTCCAGGTAGCCAGACGGCCCAACTGAGAGGCCTCACAGCCAGTGCTTTTGAAAGCAGTGCTTGAGGAAGAGTGGGATTCATCAGAATTCAGCAAGAGCTCTTTCACAGCTAAGCACTGACCATCTTATCCCACGGTGGCGCCGGACTCTGAGGCAATGTAAGAGAACTGTAAGATGCCTAAGAAAAAGTCAAATAATACAAAGAAGTGTGATTAGGTACAAAAGGGGTAAAAGTGACAGGTCAGCGGAACAGGGACAACCGCTAGAGGCTGGGGAGGAAGCTGCCTGAGCAGAGGTGTATCTGGAACAAGCAAACGTGGGATCGTAGGATATGCTATGCTTTAGTGGCTTGGGTAGCAGATGCTAAGTTTAAGTGGCAAAGAATTCAGTTGTCAGAACAAACAGCACTGGTGGATTTCTTCTGTGTGTGTGGAGCTTTATCACAGTCTTCCCGGTAAGCCCCCAGATGTAGAAGGCATCTTTAGTTTTACACTTGCCCCTCGCTAGTGACTTCCAATTCCTATCCACTCCAGTTCCTGTCTAGTTCCAAAGCTTTGGGCTATTCAGACAGCTGCAGTCCTTAGAATAAGAGTGACTGGTTTTAAGGCAAACTCGAAGAGGCACCTAGAGCCAGGAGGCCATCCAGGTGTTCGTTGGGTGCTTCATGGTATGGAACTAAGCAGAGTGAGAAGAAAGGATGGATTGCACACCTGTAATCCCAGAATTGGGAGGCTGAGGCAGGAAGTTTGCTGAGTTTGAGTCCAGCCTGGGCAATTTAGCAAGGCCCTTCTCAAAATTTTTTTAAAAAGGCCTTGAGATGTAGCTCAGTGTGAAGGCCCTGGGTTGCTAGCAATGCTCCCCACCCCACCAGGAATGAAAAAGGTGATGACCACTGTCAAGTCCCTATGTGTCAGGCACTGACCTAATAGCAAGGATAGCGTAGTGAACAATATCCCCTTCCTTCAAGGAGCTAGGCTTCCAGTAGATGCCACATGCCTTTATGGACTGATGCCACATGTGACTGTTTATGCTCTTGGTTTTTATTGAAGTCAGACCTGCTCTCCTGGAAATAAGGTATAGGTAGCCAGGCGTGGAGGTGCACGCCTGTAATCCCAGCACTCGGGAGGCTGAAGCAGGAGGATCACTATGACTTCGAGACCAGCCTGGACTACATAGTGAGTTCCAGGTCAGTCTCAACTACATAGTGAGACCCTGTCTCAGAAAACAAAACAAACAAACAAAAAAAACAAATAAGGTACAGGCTTTAGCATGGTCAGGCTCCCAGGCAGAGGATATGTGGCCCTTTACTTGGAAACAGTTGGTCATGTGTGGGAAAACCAGCACCACAGGCAAGGCAGCAAGCACCTCAGTTTCTGGAAGTAGAGCAAAGCCCTTGCTCATGTGCAGGAGGAACATGAGATGGTAAGGACTTTCCCACAGGTGAGCGGGAGGAAAGTGCCATCCCCAAAGATAGGCTTGCTTGGACCTCATATACTCCAAATCGTGTTGATTGTGTCCCACAGCCACCATGAGAGGATGAGAGGGCCCCCATGGGCCACAGCATACGAAGGCAATTCTGTAAGGTGCCTTGACCTGTCCCTTAGCTTCTGGAGAGGGACTAAGGATTTGTTTCATTATAATTTTCAACTTCAAGCTGCCCTCTGCTGGAGGTGTCTGCTGAATGAAGGAAATCACTGTACTTCCTGGAAATGATTATTTCATTGGATTCCGCTGGGGAGAAAAGAGAGGATGCCGTATGTACACAAAAGGAGATTTCTTCCTGAGCCTCTCTAGCATGGGTTCAGGCTTGGGTTGGAATCGTGAATGTGGATGTAGTCACTCAAGCACGTGTCCAACTCTTGGAACAGTTTCACCTTCTAAAACCTTTTAAAACTACCCATGCCTCACAAGCACAAGGACCCAAGTTCGATCCCTGGTACCAAAAAAATAAAAACAAACAAAACTACCCATGCAACTGGGTGTAGTGGCGCATACCTGTAGCCCCGGCACTCGGGAGGCTGAGAGGCAAGAAGATCACTGCAAGTTTGAGGACACCCTGGAGTACATAGTGAGTTCAAGCCCAGCCTGAATTACATGAGACCCTGTCTCAAAAAAACAAACAAACAAAAAAAAACAACTATGCATGCTGAGGAGGGAGGATTGCAAGTTCAAGACCAGAATAGACTCTATGGTAAGACCTTGTCTCAGAAAACAAATATTTCTCAGTCTTTTGGTTAAGGTCAGAAAACAAGGGCTCACTCTTTCCCTGGCTCCCTTTCTGACCTTCAAAACTCTGCAGGGTCCCTAAGGAAATTCTCTGCTGAGAAAAGTCTCAGGCTCCACCCCAGACCTACAGCATCAATCTACTGAGTAACACTACTCTCCTGTAAGACAGTGACTTCACAAGAGGTGGTCTGAAGGCTGTGATTCTCCTCAAATCTGAGGTGACAGGGGTGTAGAACAATGTCTGCAGACTTTTTGTTTTGGGACAGAGTCCTTGCTTGTAGTTCAGGCCAGGCTTGAACTCACTATGTAGCCCAGGCTGACCTCAAACTTGTGGCAATCCTCCTGACTCAGCCTCCCAAATATTGGGATTACTGGCACATGCCACTACACTGGGTGTGTCCCTGGAAATCTTGAAAATGCCTTTGTTACTCTTATCTCAGTGCCCTCAGTCTAAATGTCAGGGTTGCTGAGTGGTCAAGGGCACAGACTCAGACTTGAAAGGGGACAAAGATAGGTTAGGTCAATTTAGGTCTAATAAACATTGTATTGCCATGTGATCCAAAGTTTTATGGTAATAAGGAAGACATATGAAATAAAGGAAAAACCTGGCATCAAGGTCCATGCTTGTAATGTCAGCTTTCAAGAAGGCAAGGCAGGGGGTTTATGCATTCAAAGTCAGCTTGGACAACACAGCAAGACTCTGCCACAAAGGGTGGGAGAGCTCCTGCTTTTAGTTATCCTGCTTTTAGTTACCCACTAGGGATGTGCAGGCCCGGCTTCTAAGTGTCATAATTACACTTAAAATTATACTTAAATAACATACTGCCATTGAGGTGTAAGAGCCTGACTGAACCAGAGCGACTCCATGTTGACCAGCAAACGACCTAGAGACTGTCGCTCCCCCCATCCCTTACAGGATAACTAATGATTAATTGTGAATTGTTAGGTAACTGCTTTGAAGTAGCTGAGAAACTAAATGGAAGCTATAGTGAACACAGAAATCCAACATGAATCACGCCACTCCTTACTTGCCTGTAGTTGAATGTTCTGAACATTATAATCTAAGTTGTAAATGGAATACTGGATAATCGATCTGCTGATCATTAGTACGTAACAGTCAACTATATGCTTGATGACCACTAGCTCAGATCAACTGATTCTTTGCCTTTGCCCTCTTCCTGTAAGTTTTAAGTGTAACCCGCGCTCCTTAGCCCTATATAAAATGGCCTCAGTTTCTGAGCTAGCCGCCTCTCTGAGCTACTTGGCTTGGGGAGTGCCGTCTGGCCAGACTAATAAAGGTCTATTTGCCAACTTGCCTGGTGTGTTCCTTCCTGGGTGACGCTCGCTGTCCGACTAGCTCCTGGAGCCTCGCTGAGCTTCTGAGCCCAGCATCGTGGAAGCCTCTTGGCTGTTCACGCTCCAGGAGTAAAAGTGATACTTAAGTCTTACAGAGGCAAAGCAAAGATTAAAAACTCACATCATACGTGCATTCTCCGAACTCAACCAGGTTCTCGTTGCCAGTCACCAGTGTTTTTCCTTGGTCCCCTGTTCCTGTCTGGGGATATGAAAGGGATCCCTTCTCAGTCAGGGTCAAGCCTACTTCTCTACTTTCATCAGCTGACTAGGCACTGTGCACACTCCTCGGAAAGCTTCAAGCTCCATGTCTCCTGTACGGCGGGGCAGGGGGCCAGGATCTCACTATGTAGCCCCCATGCTGGCCTCAAACTTTCGGGGACCCTCCTCTACCCCTCCCTCCCGAGGGGTGGGATAACAAGTGACTCTTGCATTTTTAACCTCTGACTCCTTATTGGAGAGAGAAAGTTTCATGAGCGTGCTCCCTAATAGTTGTTTCCAGAGTGCCTCCTCTCTTCAGAGCCAGTACTTGTCTAGGGCCCGTGTGTGTGTGTGTGTGTGTGTGTGTGTGTGAGCGCGTGCGTGCTGGCAGGACAGAGCCCAGCACCTCTTGCGTGTTAGGCAAGTGCTCTACCACTGAGTTACTTCTCCACACCCACCCACCCACCCACCTTTTACATTTTTTGAGAGGTCTTGAAGTAGTTAGAACTATGAGTGTGTCCACCACACCAGGCTGGGACCTTGACAGTGTGAAGGGTTCTGGGTACGTGCTTTTTAGAATGATTGTCAACAACTTGGAGTCTGTTGATGTTTTCCCACAATTTATTAGACCTGGGGTTGTGGATCTTGCAGAAAGAGTACCACAGAGATGACACAGCTTTTTTTTTTTTTTTTTTTTTTTTTTTTTTTTTTTTTTTTGAGGGTCTCACTGTGCAGTTGAAACTGATGTGGAACTCACTGTGTAGCTCAGGCTGGTCTCAAACTCACAGCGATCCTCCTGCCTCAGCCTCCCGACTGCTGGGATTACAGGCGTGCGCCACCACACCCGGCTGACACAGCCTTCTTTTGATGTCATATCAGAGAGTATGTGGTGCCAACTTTGACCACTTGTGAAGAAGGTATCTGTCTACACTGTAGAAACTTATTGGCAGAGGGTCTGGGGATGTCGTTCAATGGTAGAGGGCATGATTGCCCTGCATTTTATCCCCAGCACCACACACAGACAGAAATCACTCTTTTCCTTTCTCTTATTCTATTGGTTGGAAGAAAGTCACTAAGTCCAGTCCACACACATAAGAGAAAGGAGTATCAAGGAAGCTGTGCCACATTTGAAGATGTTTGATAGGCCCTGAAGGCGCAGGCAACAGAAGTAAAACTAGACAAACTGCATTCTATCAAACTAACAAGCTCCTGCACAGCAAATGAAACAATCATTGGAGTGAAGAGACAAGCTTCAAAATGGGAGGAAACATCTGCCAACTATTCATCCAACAAAGGATGAGTATCAAGAATATATAAAGGAACCAGGCGTGGTGGCACAGACCTGTAATCTCAGCACTCAGGAGGCTGAGGCAGGAGGATCGCTGTGAGTTCGAGACCAGCCTGGGCTACATAGTGAGTTCCAAGTCAGTCTCAACTACACAGTGAGACCCTGTCTCAAAAAACCAAAAAAGAAAAAAAAAATATATATATATATAGGAATTTTTTTTAAATGACCAGTAAAAACTCAAGTGATACAATTAGAATATGGGCTGAAGTTTTGAATAGGCATTTCTCAAAAGATGACATATGAATGGTCAACAAGTATACAAAAAACTGTTCAGTATCATCAGGGGAATGCAAACTAAAACCACAATGAGATATCACTGTGTTAGAATGGCTATTATCAAAAAGACTAAAGTAATAAGTGCTGGCAAGGATTCAGAGACAGGGGAACTCTACACTGTTAGTGGGAATTTAAGTAAAGTCATCATGGAAACATGGAGATCCTTCAAAAAACTAATAGGAGGCAGGCATGGTGGCATATTCCTATAATCCTAGTACTTGGGAGGCTGAGGCAGGAGGATCACTGTGAGCTCGAGGCCAGTATGGACTACGCAGTGAGTTCAAGACCAGCCTGGTGTATATTGTGAGATCCTATCTCAAAAAACAAAGAAACAAAAACAAAAAAATTAAGGGACTGGAATGTAGTTTAGCGGTACAGCATATGCCTTAAAAGCACAAGGTCCTGGGTTCAGACCCTAGCATCGCAAAAATAAAACAAAAAACTAAAAATATAACTACCATATAATCCAACAATCCCACTACTGAGGATGTATTCAAAGATGAAGCCATCATATCAAAAAGATACTTGCATGCTCATCTATTCACTGTAGCCAATACATAGATCAAACAAGATATCCATCAATGACAAACGCGTAAACAAAATGTAGATAATATACACAATGAAGTATTCAGCCACAGAAAGAATGAGATCCTGCCATTTGCAGCAACATGGAACTGGAGGTCTTTATGTTAAATGAAATCGGCTAGACACAGAAAGACAAGCATATGTTCTCACTTGATTCTGGAAAATAAATAGCCAATGACATAAAAAAACAGAGGGTCATAGTGGTCACTAGACTGAAAGGATCAGGGAAGAGGAAGCACAGAAAGAAATCAGGCAAGAAGTACCAAAACAAAGAGGAAAAATTAGTTCTGGTTTCCTACAGCACAAAATGGTAACTACTGCCTAAAACGATCTATGATATATTTCAAAATGACTAGGCTATGAAATTCCCAAGGCATAAAAATGATGAAAGTTTCTGAGTACAGGGACCCATCTGTGTAATCCCAACTATTCAGTAGGCTGAGGTAAGAGGACAGCAAGTTCGAGGCCAGCCTGAACTACGAAGTGAGGTTAAGACCAGCCTGAAGCACAGTGAGGCCCTGTCTCAAAACAAAGGAAAAAGGTGCAGGGTGAAGAAGTAGCTCAGGGGGGAACCGCTCTGGGATGATTTCCGGGAAGGAGAAGTGGGAGGGCATTAAAGCCAGGGCGTGGCGTGGCTGGTGTAACCAGGCAAGCTGAGGTTCAATCTTCAGTGTATATACATATTTTTTAAAAAGCCTAGCATGGGATATACCCGCAATCCTAACACTCTGGGAGGCTAGGGCAGGAGGATCACAAATTTGCACCCAGCCTGGGCATTTAGTGACGTAGTAAGACCTTACCTCAAAATTTAAAAAGCCTGGAGATACAGCTCAATGCAAAGATCCTGGATTCAACCCCCAGTACCGCACTAAAAAAAAAATGAATAAATAAAATAAATAAAAAGAAGTTTAAAAAGATATAACTGATTACCGGGATTTACTACACATTTTCTACACGTATCAAATTATCATAATGTATCCATAATGTATTTTATGATGTGCAAATATTATGTCTCTATAAAAAATTGTGTCCATGTTAAAACTGCCACAATAATTAAATATTTTGGGGAGACATTTTGATCAAGTATCCTGTTTCCCCTTAAATTATCACCCACTAACATCAGCATTTATCATATCTATCATCTGGTAATTTTATTAGACCTTCCTTCAGTTTTGTTGAAAACCTATTGTGAAATCAAAATGTGTATTTTCAGTTGCGTCAACTGCCCTAGTTGATGGAGAGTTAGAGAGAAAGATGCTGTTTTTTTGAGACAGGGTCTCACTATGTAGTTGAGACTGACCTGGAACTCACTATGTAGCCCAGGCTGGTCTCGAACTCACAGCGATTCTCCTGCCTCAGCCTCCTGAGCGCTGGGATTACAGGCATGCACCACCACGCCTGACTTGAGATGCCCTTCTTTTGTAAAGTGAGAGGACAGTGCACTCTCTGGCAACGTTTTATAAATTAAGATCTTCTAAACACTGATATCTAAACAATGTCCTGGCCCCAAGTTCCCAGAGGTTCCTGTCCTCGAATTTGGAGACCATGACTGCGAATGCTTCCACCAGTGATTTCACCTACCAGCTCTTGGTGAGGACTTCTCAAATCCTACTCTTAGTGGTACCTCTTTCTTTTGCTAAGCACAAAACTTCAAGTTCGCCAGCCCCAGGTTTCCCAACTCTGGGGCTTCATTTCCCTCCTTTCACAATGAGCCGCTTGCAAAGGCACACTTCGCTTCTCACCTACTTCTATCCTGGACACTCCCCTCCCCTCCCCGCCTCGCCTACCAAATCTGGGCTCTGGAATCGGATTCTAGATTCTCATTTCCAAAGGCCTTTTGGCAAGGGGCCCAAAGCGGCAGACATCTCCGCAGAGAGAGAAATGACACCAGGGGCCGAGCAGTGAGGGCTGGAAGACATTTCTTGCACTTAAGGGCGAGGAACGTTTGTTTGTAAGGCACACCGCAGAATACAAAGTAACTGCGCCTCAGGTGCGTGATCTTCGCCACAAAAGTGGGCAGCATTCGTCCGAGAAGACAGCGAATCCTAAAGGAAACCTAACTAACAAACACACCTTCACCTGGAGTAGCCTACGGCCGTTTCCGCAACCGCCACCCGCTCCTCCGGCTTAAAGCGGAGCGGCATCGAGGGCGTATTCCGGGAACCGGGGGTGGGCCCACCAGACGCCTTTACTACTTGAAGAGTACAATACCCGGCAGCAACTCGCGCGAGACAGGGGTATATTCTCGCGAGATGTCTGGGAGGCGGCCGTGATGGCGGCGGCGGGAACCGGCCATGGCTCTGGAGCGGGTGCAGGACCTGGCCCTGGAGCAACCCCAAATGCAATAGCGGCAGAAGAGGGGGAGACAAAACCGGTGGCAGCGATGGCAGCCGCTCCGGCCGGAGAGGGAGCGTCAGCTGCACCGGCGCCCGCGGAGCCCAGTTCTGGGGAGGCAGAGAGCGGGTAAGATGACCGTGGCCTAGGGAGAGCAGGGAAGGGAGGGCCGCCCTTTGGAATCCTGCGGCCCGGGCGCGTTCCAGCCGCCTCTCCTCTGGACCCAGCCCGCGACCAACCGCTGGGCTTGCCGACTCCTCCTGCCGAGTATCCCCGCCAGCGCATCCCTCCGCTCCTCTTTCTGCGCGGCAACGCAGGCCACGCCCCTTTCCCCAACCTTTCTGGGGAGGTGCGAGCCCAGCTACTGGTTCTATTTCTGGCCTTGGACCTAGTGAGAAGCTGGTAGCTCGCTCTTCTTGCTTCTGGCATCCCATTTCGGAGCCGGCCCCGTTGAAAAAGCCGTAGGAATGTGAAGTTCAGCTGTGAAGTTTTGATCATCATCTTTGGAAGTTGACATTTTGAGGTTTTTCTTAAAAATTCTTACTTGAGTACTTAATTACCTTACAGGGATGCAAACTTGGTTGATGTAAGTGGCGGTTTGGAGACAGAATCCTCTAATGGAAAAGACACATTAGTAAGTATTTCTTTTTGGATGTTTACAAAGGAAAATAAAGTATTTACTTATTTATATTTGCTTATTTACTTATATATTTACAGCATTGGGAACTAAATCCAGGGGCGCTCTAGAATTGAGCTATATCCTCAGTCCTGGGTTTTTTTTTTTTTTTTTTTTTTTTTTTAAAAAAAG